GTAAGTTAAACGTCTTTTCAGCTTCGTGCCTATGAATTCATAATTTGACTGATGAATATTCCAATTTGCTTCGGTTTGTTTTCTCAGGTTAACTAGTCAGTCTTTTTTTATCAGCTTATTCTTTTCCGGCATTATTGCAGCTAGATCTGAATCATATTCTGCTTAGTCACCCGGGCTGGTCCATATATTTTCCTTGTTACATCCTATGTCACTTTTTCATTCAGAAGAAGTTTCGCTCTTCTTTTAGGAAAGTGCTCTTCGTCCGATGATGTTTTTATTCCTATATTTCTTCGTCTATGATGTCTAGATCACGCATTCCGTGGTTTTATGTGTGAGGACGAACGTGATGTCTGGTATTATGGATCATAATCATCATCAGAGCTACTGGTTTTTACTTTTTCACACCTATTATAAGCATCAAGTTGATTGGAATTTTTCAATTCTTATTGCTGTTGGTCCATTCGGCCCCTTGGTAATATCGATGAAGGAGTGCACAGATGTCTAGGCGATAGGCTGACGACGAATTTCCTCTATTTCCTGCGTCATCTCATCTGATTTTTTAATTTTATTTCTACTACTTCGCCAATTATCTGCTACTTTCTGTTCTTTCCCGGCTGTTGAAGTAGCGTCTATAGTGATAGTCTTCGAGCGGTAATTTGTAGTCTTATTAGTATTTGGCCAGAGTTCCAGAATTTCGAACATTGATTATCAGATTTCTGGTACAGGAACGGTCAGATTTTATATAATGTATCAGAATTTTGGAATACCGAAATTTATTTTTAGATTTCTAATACTGGAAGCGTCAATATACTGTATGGTCAGAGTTTGATACTGCGTGTTAGAAATTATACTGAGTGTCAGAACTTATACTGATGGTTAGAAATTCTACTGATGGTCAAAAATTCTACTGATGGACAGAAATTCTGTTGACGGTCAGTAGTTATACTAATGGTAATAAATTCTACTGATGATCAGTAGTTATACTAGTGATTAGTAATTCTACTGATGGTCAGTAATTATACTGGTGGTCAGTATTTATATTAATGTCAGAAATTATGCTGAAAATAATCTTATTAATGAAATAATTAGTTCAATTTTTCAGAACATATATTCACATAGACATGCATACGTTACTCAATTACATATATTATGTATTTAGGCACATATGAATAGTTATAAATATATAGTAATAAGATAATATAATGGTCAGATAAATAGTTCATGATTTTTCGGTTAGTAACTTCATGCGCAATCTAAAAGATGTTGGGTGCCACTTGTGACGAGGAATTTCGGTAGGTCTAAACCACGCTCGAGAAACACCTCCACCACAATGCCTAAAGACCCGTTTCTCCGACTAACGTTACGGCGATCGTCGGGGATAAGGTCAGAAATCGGCGCGTAGGTCTGGTTGCTCGTTTTGTGACTGCACAGAGCGGGCAGGGGACTACGCTTACGCTGATAACTTTTTCTAGGCCGCTCCAATGCACAGCGGCAACGAATCCACACGTCTTAGCGAATTACACACGCGCCGAATTATGCACGCGATCACACCATTCTCGACGGCGAGCAATACTTCTCCAAACTATCCAAATCCTACGCTTTTTTACGCTCGAGTTAGTTGGAAAAAATGGCGGTTGGTCTGCACGATTCGGTCAGGAATACTTTGTTCCCAACGGCGTCGGATCAACGCGTCATGGTGGAATAAAGAACAAATTACGCGCGGCAATAACTAATGTTCACTAATAAAATCGGCACTTTACCTACTTACTTATTTCAAGTCTAACGATTCACTCGTTTAAACTCTAATCACTCGATTTCTCGGCTCGTAGCGAATCTACGTGCAGCTAAGTTCACGATCAGTGGCAAAATGGACAAGCAACAGATTTTCATGGTCAAAGATTCCTTACTTCTCTTTCCGAAAAGAAGTCATTTTATTGGCCGATATGCTAACTTGGATATCGGTTGCGCCCTCCAAATATTCCCATCATTGGTCAATATACAAATTAGAAAAGTAGCAGTGCCCTCATTTTATCTCCTACCTCATTGCTATTTATAAAGGTAAGAGAAGCTTATTCCCCACGAAGTCGGTCAGCATTGATTGATGAGAAAGATCTACCCCTACTTATTTATTGGTTGTGACGTCACCGGCGAGTTTCGTCAGAGTTTCAAATTTTATCAGTTAATTATGTCGATTTAATTTAACTGACTACTTGTCGGTTATGAGTACGCCTATGGAATTGTAGCGGTCGCGTACGTGTATTTTCATTTTTTTCTTTATACGTTGCACATAATAAGTTGCATCCTTATTATCGCTAGGTATTTTGCAATATACATTTCATTTCGCTAATTTTCATAATAGTCATAGTTTAGTTTTCCTCATAGTAGCGCTTTCATCATCGAGTTTGCGTTCGAATTAGTTCACTCGCTCTCATATGGTCTGTCTCGCTTACTCTTGTTTAGTCTGCCTCGCTCGATCTTGTTTAGTCTCTCTCACTCACTCTCACTCAGTCTATCTCACTCGCACCCGCTCAATCTATCTCGCTCGCTCCCGCTCAGTCTGTATCGGCGCTTAAAAATGACTTCGCTGCCGATCTCTGGAGTGCCTCCTGGATCGCTCCCTCTCGGTCGTGTGTCACGTGTATACACCCGAATGATCGCCAGTGATCAGTAGCAATGTGTGTGGCACTCTGGGTGTCATCGATAGTACACAGCAGTCTCGCATAACTGATCGCCTGCTACCATTTCAACCACGATTTCCTGGTTGCCCCAGGTGTGACAGCTTACGCAGAGTGTCTGTGGATTTCACTCGTGTACATTTTTGTTGCATTTTTCCGTCGGTTTTTCCCTGTGCTTTTTTCCAGTCGTCAACACGTGGTCGGAGGTATGTTTGTGCGTGCGCTCCGTTTTTCTCTCATCCGTCGGATCGCGCTGTTTTACTTGTTGCATCACTTTCCCGGGCATGGGTGGGCAAATTTGAAAATAAAGTAGGATTTTAATTAGGGCGGGAGTAGGGTAATTTTTTTCGGCTGGTTATGGGTTGGCAAGGGACGGGGATGGCTTCTCTGTGGTGTTGTAAGTAGTTCAACAATCTCAGGCAAAACCTTGTAATGCACCGCATTACACAATTCTTTGCAGAAATACCTTTCAATCAGTTCATTTTAGAACTGCTTTCAAATGAGTTTTTTTCAGAACTATTTTACAATCAGTTCTTTTCAAAATTGCTATCAAATGAATTCTTTTCAGAACTATTTTATAATCAGTTTTTTTTAGAACTATGTTAAATCAGCTTTTTTCAAAATTCCTTTTCCATCAGTTCTTAGCAGATCTAATTTTCTATCAGTTCTTTAAAGAAGTACTTTTCATTCAGGTTTTTTCAATAGTTCATTTCAGAACTGCTCTTAAATGCATTCTTTTAGTAACAATCTTTCAATAAGTTCTTTCCAGAACTATTTTTCAATCAGTTCTTTTCAAATCTGCTTTCAAAAGTTCTGTTTAGAATTTTATTACAATCAGTTCTCTTGAGAAATGCTGTTGAATGAGTCCTTTCCAGTCTACTTTTCAATCAGTTTTTTCAGAACTACCTTCAAATCAGTATTTTTCAGAACTATTTTGCAATATTTTATTTTCAGAACTACTTTTCCATGAGTCCTTTTCAGAACTACCTTCCAAACATTTTTTTCAGAAGTACTGTTAAATCAGTCGTTTTCAGAGCTGTTTTTAAATGAGTTCTTTGCAGAAAATAGGGAGTCTATGATGTTCCGCATAACCAGGATCCATTGAGGCTATCGGAGCGGTTTTTCCAAACTGCTTTGCAGCAATTTGGTACCCCAGGCCCCAAGGATTCCTGTTGATGTTCTCTTTCAGTTCTCCCATACACCTTCTTCTGCTCTTTTTAATGGCTCTCACCAGATTTTCCCGACCCGCTTTATACAGCGCCTCTACCTCGATATCTCGATGTCTAGTCCTCATCGACCTTCATCTGTAGCGGTGGCATTCCGCCCGTAGCTCCGCAATATCCGGCGTTCACCAGTACATCGGCCGCCTAACGGGTCCTGCAGATCTCCGAGGCATACACGGGTCACACCAGTCCGTGATGTTGCGCATATTTCGCGTGATTAGAAGTTCTATCGCCTCTTTGTTGTCCAGTAGCGCTATGTCTGCCGATGGTGGTGCAGATTCAAGGGCCTCACGCAGCGCTACTCTCTCAAGCTTCGTCACGCATCATCCCCTGACCACTTTCCCACCTGCATCCGGCAGTTGAACACTTCTCTTCTCCACTACAAATCTCACACATTAGTGATCATTCGACGTATAATCTTCCAAGATCCGTCAGTCCTGGACTAAGTTCGATGCCAGTGTGACGTCGATTATTGATCCCTTCGTCCCTTCACGGCGAAATGTTGTGATATCTCCGTTATTGATACATAGAGGTCGAGTCTCGCGGCCATTTTCAAGATTTCCCTTCCCCAAGTGTCGGTCTTATCGGTTTCCCATTCGGTGGCCTCGACGTTGACGTCTCTTGCCACAACTAATTCATCCCTAAGACCCCCGATGGTATCCTCGAGAGAAGCGGACGTCTTCTTGAAGACAGCCATCGAGATATTCGGTGACCGGTAGCAGCTAATCCAAACCCTTTGACTACACTTAATCCAGATAAAGTCTTCCTCAGTCCCATGACCAGTAATCACGAGCTTGCCTCTGTTTTGGATCTTGATGGCTGTTGTTCCAGTGTTGTCCCGAAACCACCCCCATTCTAGCACATAGTAGCCAATAATAATTTTCTTTGATTTTGAAGCATTTAAGTCCAATCTGTTTCAAGAAATTCATTGAGCAACTGCATTGGCTTTAATTTGTACTATTTCAACCGTATTATAGAGATCATTGTAAGCAAAAATACTTGTGTATTATCGACATAAACAAGATATTCATATTTACATATATTCATATTTGTATTACTGATATCGATATTCATGGATATTAATATTCATATTTGATGTCAGATTAAGGTGACCTGTCGTCCATCGATGAACAATAGTGCGACTGCTGAGCAACCTATGGTTCTAATAGTCGATCGGAGAGATTCATCGCTAAACGAACGAGCATTTGTGCCTGCCCACATCAGTTGAGTACTTCTTCGCCGCCTCATCCGATCACCGTTATAGTCGTAGTACGTATTTCCGGATAATCATTTTTGTTTCTTTTGCTTTTTGTATTTTCTTTTGAAATAAAGAAATCTATGAATACATCACATCAGAACTGTTCTCAATAGTAGGAATTAAATAGTCGATCAAAATGGCTAGTTGGCTTTTCACTAATTGAAGATATCGAGTAAAAACTTATTTGAAAGAACTATCTTCTGTGTATTGTAACGGTCCAGTCTGATTTGTCCCTTTTTTCCCTCTGCAAAATAGCAACCCGTCGTGCACGAGACAATCAAAGAAAAGCGGTAATTGAGCGAAGGCGCTTTTCTCACATATATGCAAATGTGTTAGAGCAACTTAGCGAAAATATTACCATATAAGGAGCGTGACGTCAAGACCGTGGGAAATTTATTGTTTACAATGGAAAATCGACAATTATAAAGTTTTTCAAATGCACAAAAGCATTTTTTTAGTCAATTTTGATGCGCTCATCTTGAATTTCATGTTGTTATAATTGTCAAGTCTGTATTTATTGGTTTAATTTAATTTACAAGTTAATAGTGTTAGTTATTTTGCAATAAATAATTATATTGTTAATTCGAATATGCGATTACGTCCGCGACGTATTGAAACAGAGAAGCAAGAATTTGACACTTTGGTAACTGATTATTCACTGAATGATTTTATTTAAACAATTAAAATTGTGTTGTTAGATAGCGAGTCGATTGTACATATCTGTAAAATTAATGACAATGATTGTCACTAATTTGCTGATTTTTAAATGGCTAAAAAAGAAATTGGCAAATTCGTTGTTTAATTATTATTCGAAATTGGAGAGCTATATTAATCGTTTTTAATTTGAATAATGTTCTAAGCACAAGCGATTTTTTATGTAAAAATTTTCCGAAAATTTATTGTAAAATTGCGTTATTTGATTATCAAATTGTATTACTTATAACTCTGAAAGGCGATTTTTCCTCAAGAAACGATTTATGTTAAAAAACTCGTTATTTCATATTTAATTTTTTAAATCATAAAATTGCAAATTCGATCGAGCCATTTTGCGACAAAACATGTGCAAAATTTGTATCAATTTCAAAAATAGCGTTGCAGGGGCTACCAAGCGTAGAAAGGAGCCGATTTCGCAAGTATAAATTCGCTCGTCGCTGCGACAAGAGAATTCACTATCCCACCTTGCTTAGCAGCGCGAGCATTGATTAGAAATAAAGGCTCAGCAATCTCCTGAGACTAATTTCTTTATTCAGTGGTTAGCCTGCTAATTCCTCTCCTTTTGATACCTAAGCGCTCAACTCATAAGACTATCTCTCTTATGAAAAAAAAGTAGCCTTAGAGATCTCCTTCCTTCAAATTTATGAATTGTTGAGAATTTAGATTGAGTATTGGTTGCAGCGCTGTCGGGTCTCTTCCCGATAGTTGCAATTACGCTCAATTGTATTTCAAGACGGTTCATTGAGATAGAAAACTTTGCGTTTACTACTCGACAAATTTTGATATTTCATTTCTAGTAGAATATAACGTGTCAACTTCTTGCTACTCTCGGAAACGGGATTACAAACGCGACAAAAAGAGTCCGAACTATTATTTTGATAACGCGAGATAGACTCAAACGTTACAGTAGGTATCTAGTTAATTTTCTAACGAAATCTTCATAGAAAACGTACCTGCTGGAAACATATTTTGTGTAATGTTGTAAAATATCGGAAGAAATTGTGAAGAATTCTAAAGCATTGTAAATAATCGTAAAAGTTTATGCTCAATTGTGTTAAATTATCGATTTTCTTTCAATAATTTTTAATAAATGTCCACAATTTTTTTAATTTTAGACTTCAATTTTCCTCATTTTTCTCAAGAATTTTTCGTAGAATATCAAGAGACATAAGGTACTTAGGAAACGTTTGATGCAAGTACCCATGTATGATTGTAGTAAAAGTCATATCAGAAATAGCGCAAAATGAAAATGTGCTAGATGATAGCCTAAAAAGTTAATATGACTGTTAGCTAAATGAAGAAAAGAAGCCTGATAGAGAATATACAGTTATTATCTAAGGTTGTGAAAGCGACTACCTTACTATCAAACGTTTTTGAATAATAACCGTGCGTTCGATTTTTCTACATCCATATATTATAGGATCTTCAATATGTTATAAGGAGATATTTTGATATTATTTTATGTAATTTCAACGAAGGTTACATCCTTTTTCATCATTTATAGTAACTCAAATTTGGATATGTCTAAATTACTTTTCTTTTTTTTCCATCGTTGTCAGATCAAATCACAATTCTTGTTTGTTTTCGTATTTTGTTTATATAGTCAGTATATCTATAACTATGGTTTAAGATTAGTATATCTGTACACATCATTTAATACTTAGTAAATCTATATATTTAATTAAATAAATATAAATAAAACAACATTCCTATGGTATATATCTGTGTGTGTGTGTGTGTTTTTTTTTTTTTTTTGAAGAGAGTTGGAGAATGCTTTATGCACGTAACGGCCTTCCGGCTCGTCCTGTGTGGGAATCCCTAAGCATGGTATACCCACTAAACTCCCATCTCTCTATGTCCTGCCTGTATCCCCCGCGGGAACCGCCGCTAGGCATTACTTCGCGGGGAGGCTTCTGCTATATTAGCCTTGTCTTCTTCATTACCTTTCGGCTGTGTCGTTTTCTTCGATCTTCATCGTCTTCGGCTATGTTAGCCTCGTCTTCTTCTTACGGCATCGATTTACACTTCTTCTTCCAACGGCATCGTCCGGTCGTCTTCTTCTATCGGCATCGTCCGGTCATCCTCTGGACAGACTCTACCTCGACACCTACGTTTCTCTGCATCGGGTGAGAGAGTCTGGGCTCAACCCAATGTCCTTTGCTCTCCCGCAAAGGGAGGGGAGCACTTTGGATAGGCTGGCGCCTTGTTATCCTATGGATTTAGGTGACCCCAGAGCCTACGTTCCTCTGCATCGGATGGGGTAATCGCGCTCTACCAACTACTCTGTGGTAGTTTAGGAGTGCTTTTTAGTCCCATAGTCTGGCATCTCGCTCTATCTATGCATGATAGAACTGTCGCGTCTTCTCTCTTCCTCCTTTCTTACTTCGGTCAGCCGGTTTACCACTGACGTGGCAAAGGTCACTACCGTTTCCTATCCCTCTAGCGAGTCGAGCAGGCAAGCTCCGAGCCCTTCGGGACTCATTGGATCATTCCACTCCGTGCGGAAATGCATCCGCTCTTCAGCGAAGCGGGGACACACAAATAAGACATGTTCTACGTCCTCGTCATTGCCTGGACAGGCTGGGCATTCGGCACTCGCATATACACCGATGTGTTGGAGATAAATGCGGAAGCAGCCATGACCGGTGAGCACCTGTGTTAGTTGGAAGGTGAGGTGTCCGTGGCGCCTGCCTGTCCACTTGTCAATGTTCGGGATGATGCGATGAGTCCAGCGACCTTTCACTGCGTTGTCCCATTTTCTCTGCCATTCTCGCATTAAATTTTGCTGTGGACATGTCTATCAGCATTGTTCTCTTCGTTACGACCTCCTTCACGGTATATTTCTGCTCTGTCGCATGCTAGTAGGTCGATAGGCGCTATTCCAGAGATTACCGAGACTGCTATGTCCGATACAGTTCGGTATGCACGGGCAACTCGTAGCGCTGCTACTCTGCAGGCTCTTCGACACGTCCCGCCGTAGCTTGCATTATTTCTTAGCGCATCCGCCCATATAGGAGCTCCGTAGAGAATTACCGAGCTTACGACCGACGATAGGAGGGTTCTGCGTGGTTGCTTTGGCCCCCCGACGTTTGGCATGATACCTGCCAACGCTCTAGCAACATTAGTGGCTTTGACACCTGTTTTCGAGAGGTGTTCCTTAAACGATAGCCGCGCATCTAGTATAACTCCCAAGTACCTCATCGTGTCAGTCGACTGTACTCGCTTATTTTCCACCGTGAATGTGGCGTACTTCCGAGCTTTCGTGCGGGAGATGAGCACCGCTTCCGTCTTTTCCGCAGCGAGACTGAGCCCATGCCCTTTTAGCCATCGAGCCACCACCTCGATGGAGACGTTTCCTATATATTCTATCTCCTCAACGCTCTTTGCCGTGACCACTAGTGCTACATCATCGGCAAAAGCTATTATCTCTATTCCCCTTGGCAACTACTGTCTTATTAGTCCGTCATATAGGACATTCCATAGCAAGGGGCCAAGCACCGATCCCTGCGGCACTCCTCCCGTGATGTTGTATGAGTGTGTGCCATCGTCGGTGTTATAGTGCAGGATTCGGTTGCTTAAGTAGCTCGATAGGGCTCTACGCAAATACAGCGGCACCCTCAGTCCTTCCATGGCTGTCATAATGATGTCCCATCTTGCCGAGTTGAACGCATTTCGGATGTCTAATGCGATCACAGCGCACATGCGTCTTGCGCTCCGTCCTCCGCTAATGGCATCTTTGGCCAGGTCCACAACTCGACCAATAGCGCCTAAGGTTGAACGGCCTTTTCTGAAGCCGAACTGGTTTCCAGACAGGTCCCGCTTCGGCTATAGCTGCCTCCAATCTGGCATGGATTACTCTTTCCAGCAGTTTTCCTATAATGTCTAACATGCATAGTGGTCTGTAGGACGAAGGCTGCTCGGGAGGCTTATTTCCCTTGGGTAGCAGCACTTATTTCCCTTCTCGCAGGCACGCACTAAATGTATAGCGGATTATTTCCGGGGCATTCAGTGCTGCCGTCTTGATGGCAATTCCCGGTATCCCATCCGGCCCTGGCGCTTTCCGGGTTCGAATTTTCTTCGCGGCTACTATCAGTTCTGCTTGGGTTACTTCTGTAAACTCGATTTCATCGTCTCTTTCCATTAGGCCTGTTTGTTCTGGTCTCTCCCGATGTCTTGGGAACAGATGTCGCACTACTCTGTCGAGGAATAATGGGCAAGATGGTGGTGCGCCACTCCTGGGCTTGATCTTGCGCATGACCGTTTTATACGACCAGCCCCAGGGGTCCTTATCTACTTC